TAATTTAATTAAATTTTTGTATTATGTACAAAATATAATAAGGTGTAGTACGTCTATACATTGTAAATATATTACAGTAAAAGTATCTGTGACACGAACACATAGCTATTCTTATTTTATCTAATTAAATTAATGCGATCAAATTCATCAATTATTACCAGATATTTTAATTAAGATAAGAATAATTAAAAGTTATATAATTTTTTAAAATGTTTCAGGTCCTAGAACTCTCGAGATAACTGATACATAAGTTATTTAATTACGTCCTTAACATTTCTTAACTTAACTTTCGTGCTTTACATAAGTTATTTAATGTCCTTGCCAAACAGTGGATCCCAGGTAGTTGATAACTTGATGTTGATGAACTTGATAATTTCGCGTTTTAAACCGTTAAGGGTGATTTATTTAAAAGTTTACTACTCGCGTAAACTACAGACGATAAAAAGCTAAATTAATGACGCTTAGATTTGACGATGCTCATTTGAAAACTAGGTCATATATCCGACATATTCTAATGCATACGGCTCCAGACATTGATATTTATTCAAAAAACAAACAAGACAAGTTGAAGTGTAAGGTAGGTCGGCGCACTTTCAGCCACAATGGAGCTCATTAGTACGCTATTTGCGTGCACTAATTATTGCAACACGACCAATGTCAAACACCTTCCATTTATTTCGATTTTTCATTTTCTTATGTTATTTTCTCATAGAAGCTGAACACACAAACATAAATACATTTTTCTACCATAAATGGACATTAATTTGCTGTTTTTAAAAGCCTAGGATATAAATGTGTATATCATTCATGTATAGATACGTTACATTACATCAATTTGTTTTTCAAACTTTTTAAACCCACCGAGAAAGTATTTTTTGAATTTTCAAATTTCTCTCGTTTTGTTCACATTTCCTGCTATATCTTCGCTACTATTAGTCACAGTGTGTGCGTGCAAACAAAAATATTTTTTGAGTTCGAAACCGTAGTTCCTGAGATTAGCGCGTTCAAACAAACAAACAAACTCTTCAGCTTTATATATTAGTATAAATATAACTACTAATAAAATCTATTAAAGATACTACTATCATATTTAACTACTGTTATTAGCTAGTTAGTTGGTGAGGAAAAGCACTACATATATATAAGAACACTAATGCAATAGTTAAACTGTTAGAAGTGTTGGCTGTTATTACACAAGAAACGTTCTTACGCGTTTTGCGTGTGATATGAAGAAAATTGTGAGCTGCGGGCTACACTTATCGCACTGAAGCAACAATTCAGACCGGTATCATAATCGAGAGTTTAATGAAAACGTTTAAAAAACGCACGCCGAAGGGCCAAGAGGCTACAAAGAAATTTTAAAAGGGAGTCATTTTAACATTTTGTAATTTTTACTAAAACTCTTACGTAAAAAGCCGTGTACTTATCGTTTCAATTATTCGAACCGGGAAATAAAGACTGCCTTCTAAAATTAAAGTGATAATATTAGCCATTTTTCTCAATTGTTTGAATAAATAACATTAAATAAATGATTAATACTACTACACAAACTGCATTACAATATTTTCTCATTTATAACAATATTATTTTAAACGAAATTATAAGGCAATTTAGTTAGACATGATTAGAGTATCGCGTGTGAAAGGTTCTTTTAAAATAACTGAAAACTGTACCTCCCAGCATGCGTCTCTTTGATGCGAGATTTGATTTATACAGAAATAATCCTTAAAATATCACGAGATTTCGTGCAAACATAAGGTTACTTTGAGTCTACTGTGTACAAATAAAGCGATATTGTCTATATAGCTCTAATATCAATTTCGATACTATTAAAATTTATAGACCGTTCCGAAGATAGAGGCATGGACCATACGAAGTAATGTGGGCCGTGTTAGGTTAAAAATACCCTGTTTGCGGTTTATATGCACTGTCTTGTAATTGTGGCGCACGTTACAAGCTTTTGGCCTTTTATATGGATTTAATAATAATTATTATTATTCTATGGTTTTATTGAATTTATATAGATTTAGATACTACTTAATTTTAAGTATAGTTTGTAGTTTACGCGAGGAGAACACATTTAAATAAAACACTTTTAATTGTTTAAAACTCGGGTCTGTCCTGTGACCACGGCTAATGTAAGACATCCAAAACGTTGGGCCTTAGTGGAATTAAAACAAACTTTAACTAATATATTTCACGTTATAAACCACTTGGTTTGTTTTAATGATACAGCGCGAGAATAACTAGGTACACATTACTTTCATCACTGCTGTCTTGGATAGGGAAGGGCAGATAAATTAAGGAAATACACACAATATTTCTAATTATAAAAAGTTATTATAATTAAGCCAAATATTTTAAGAATCAATGATTTTATCTTTTTCTTCGAATTTCCTTCAGAAAATGGCACTTAAACAATCTAAGTGCGATTTTTCAACATGGACCATAGACAGGCGATATTGGAAAATTGTTTAAATTATTGAGTACTCTTGTGCCGGCGTGCAGCGTGGGAAAGCAGGTGGAGTTTTCACGTGAAATAACAGCTTGAATGTACCAAACACTACCGTACATTCGCTATGATAAATCGATAATGATACACTGGTCATTTCTTCGAATACAGTCGCTAACAAAACTCGCAATTTTATATGACATTCCGGTATGCAAGTTGACGTTCTATTGAATCGTAGCCTATGTGACGCTTGAAATATTTTTTGGCTTAAAAATGTTATGACATGGGCAGGGTTCAAAAAAAAAAAAAATTCAAAATTCAAGTCACAGAGCAATAGCACAGATTGCTGTAGAAGTGGGTTCCAGTTTTGCCAGTTTCATAACTTTTATCTGCCTAAAGTAAACGTTTGGTTAAATACTGTCTATAGTTTACGCGAGTAGTGCACATTTAAATAAAACATCAGTCATCCCCATAGTCTCCCCGTGACCACTGCTGCTGCAAAGCATCCGAAACGTCGGGCCGAAGTTAAAAATCATTTTCAAATAAGTTTAACTAATATATCGCGTTTTAAACCATTTAAATAAACGTTTGATATCAACTTTAATTAAGAAAGGAAAGGAATTTAATTACTTATAGAGACAAATCTATACTTTATATGAAGCCGAAGAGTCGGTTGTTTGTCTGTTTGCTTCAACTTGTTTGTTTGTGATGGGAAATAAATAAATGTTGGTGGATAGAGTAGTTATTGAGGAAGGCTATAGGCTATTGAACCTTGCGTTGAAAATATTAGGGGCGAAGAAACAGCGAGAAATGTGGAGAAAACGGGAAAATTTATTAAACTTTGTGGGCTTTCAAGGTTTACAAAAGCAAACATAGATTGCCCAATATAACTATTCTACGCGGACGAAGTCGTTAACACAGCTAGTATTAGCACGCAAAAAAATTATAACCATTATTCTGAATCTACAAAACGGTGAACAAATTATATTACTGCAATTTCAATTATTTAAAACAACTTGTTTACATTAAAAGTCATTAACCTCTGAATCAGAGTACATTTAGAGCTTGTCAAGAATAAAAACAAAAGGTAACGTCTACTTGGAAGCTGCAGGCATTGTTTTTATGCGATATGAGACCTGCAAATAGGCTATTTTATATTATTTTTACGTGAATCGCATTTAAAAATGATATCATTCCGCCATTAATACACACGTTAATATAATAAAAATTACTCGCGAACGAAATAAAAATATCGTACTCGCTTTGACCTTTAAACAATTGCCATATTCAATATTCTATACTTCAATTACGCCAAGGTCGATGGAATTTAGGAAATATAAAACAGTTTTGCGTTTCATACGAAATCGCAATTATTATCAATCGATTTGTTATAATTTTAACGACTTTGAAAATGTAGGAAGCTACTTTGTATTATTATTTTGAATTTGCGAAATAAGGTACTGAACATAACATAATTGAACATAAAGGACGTTACGTTGCTTCAACATATATGTATATATATATATATTTATATATGTCTGTCAGATAACATTATGATAAGTAATATTTATTTGCTCGCTGACTTTTAAATACTCAGAAGCTAGACTTAACAATCGTTGGATTTCAATTTGGCTATTATTCAAATAGTTCCTCAAAGGGGACTGCTCATTTTAGGCTACAAACGGACACTTGTTTTCAGAAATAAACACTGAACTGGCCCAGTCCATGTAGCCCCAAATAAATGATTCATAAGTATAATATAAACTTTTTTTTTTATTTGAAACTTATTACACAAATGTATATTTAGGAATAAGTGGGTAGCTAACTTGTAGAGTACTTACTAACTTCTTTATATCTCACACAGAATACAAAACAATCATAAGATATAAAATACCAATTAAAATCAATTTAAATAAATCTTACCGATAAATATTTAAACCTGTTGATATAATTATTCGCATAACGAATCCATGAGTCTTTACCAACTGACAAATTGTAACGCATTAAAATTTTATATATTTTTACTAATTTACATAGATATTTGCATATCTGCGTACAAATAGTAATGTGCTGTCGAAAATATATCACTAGTGATATGTTTGCGATGTATTTAACTGTCAAATTACATTTAGGAGATAAGAAGTTAATAGATGTTAGGTATAGGGAAATTTTTATCTCCATTATTTACAGTATCTCACAATCCAAATACTGTCTGTAATTTACACGAGTAGTACAATTTTAAATAAAACAGTTTCAACGGGTCAAAACAAAACACTAATATATGTTTCGTTTTGACACGTTGAAACTGTTTTACATTGACTTTGGGGACACTCTCCACCTTCCTTTAACCACGACTGCTGCAAAGCATCCGTAACGTCGGGCCTTATTTAAAATAGTTTGTAAAATCATTTAAAATTTCTTGTTTCGAATATGCGAATAAACAATTGTATGTATCTTTTATTGGGTTTATAAAACCAGTGTGTGCCATAATATGCAAAATGACATTCCTATATTTTCTGTATTGTGCCTAATTTGTCTGTGCCCACAGGTTCGACCAAGGCAAATCGACAAAAGGCGCGAGCAAGCTTCGACGCGACCTCATCAACGCAGAGATCGCCAACCTTCGGGACCTCCTGCCCTTGCCACCTTCCACTAGGCAGAGGCTTTCGCAATTGCAGCTGATGGCACTGGTCTGTGTCTACGTCAGGAAGTCTAATTACTTTCAACAAGGTTAGTTTATTTTTCATCATTAAGTATTTGTAAAGTCAAAAGTAACATTTGACTTTACAAATACTTTTTTTAGTTATAAAAGATATAATGCTATTTATATATATGTTAATTTTTAAATCCAGTAGTCCGTTATAACGAGTATTCTGTAGGCAATCTCATAATAAGATTATTATCTCTTCGACTATCACTTAGATATACAGTATTTAAATTAAAAAAAGACAAGCATAAGGTTTTCTTGATGAAAGGTGAAATATCCCAGCTATATAATATCTAAGCAAGATGCACTATCGGCCTATTTTGGCCTTGGATGTATGGCAATATAGATTATGGTTTTGGTTTAAATATGAACAGTTTGATAGAGATATTCAGCGATCAACGCATATTCAATTCGATGTAAATTATACCTTTTTGGTTGCATTAATCATGAAATCAAACATCTATTAAAATAGCAATGGATCACTACGACGTAAAGACCAGAGGTTATGCTTATCTTAAGGATATCGATGGTAGGGCTTTAATCTCATATAAACGCTTTAGGAAGCGCACTGAGTAACGCGTTACGGCACTTTAACATTTTTTATAGTGCTGTAGTTGATAGGGGAGAACAGAATTTCCCAGCCATATATAGTCATAACGAGTTTTTTTAGTATATTTTGATTTTGGATATTCAAAAAGAAGTTTCGATAAAAACGTTCAGAAATTTATTGATTAACAAGGGCCTCTTTTAATTTGACGTTTGCGATGCAATGATTATGAGAAACCGATAAACGTATCTGTGGTGAGGGTAAGGGTGAGAAAGAGACACCAATATTGTTTTATATTTTTTAATGGCGTAATGCTGTGTATAGGCGATCTAGGGCGTTTATAAGAGACCACAGGCTTAGGGATTTCTTGAAATAATCTTGTCTATTATAAAACCATAAATAACTAATCGACGTCCTCGCGTTGCACGTAATTGCTGTTTTAAGACAGAATACACGTTCAAGATCCCATTAGAACACAGATATATTAAGGAAAATGTATTGTACATAAATATAGATATTTATAATCTGTGTGTCTAATCCAGTTCCCCTTCTGGGGCAGACTGACTTTGCGTTTTAAATGTTAAAGTATTTTAAAAGTGCACTATTGGCAAGATACGATAATACTTAACTAAATGTAGACAAAACTATTGTTACATTAAGCTAATGTATGACTAAGCTACAACGAATGTCTTAACGTTGAGTGGTGTTAACTTGACATACTGGCAGCTATCTAGCGTGGTAAAGATTAATTCTGCCACGGTGAGTTAAGTCAAGGTAGCCAGCAATTGCATCATTTCGATTAACCCACCAAGTTTGTAACCCCTGGCAGGCATATTTCAAGTGTAAAGATGAAACTAGAAATCTTACAAAGTACATCTATATGTTTGTTTGAACGTGCTAATCTCAGGAACGGTCGAATTGTAAAATTATTTTTGTATTAGTTAGAGAATTTATCGAGGAACGCTATAAAATACCGCCCTGTGATAAATACAAGATCCATTTCCGGTTTCCGAGGCGTATGCTGCAAAAACAAGATACCCAAAAACTATCTTAAAGAAGGATTCCTCAATAACCATAATAACGATTCTCGCAGACGAAGTCGCTGACACGCCTAGTGCCATATTAAATTAAACAGTTCCCGTTTCTATGCCATGTTCCTTGTTAAATATATTTATTTCCTTTTACAGGGTTCCGTACGTGAAGCAAGAAAAAGGAACCCTTTACTTTCCTTTCAAAACCCTAAGAGTTAATATTTGTACAGATTGTGTATTCTTGTTGCAGCTATAACAGCAAATACTAAAAAGATAGTGGGGCGTAAAATAAACGCTATTTTTAGTCTTTAAAATAAGTATTGTTTGAACTTTACGCGGGAAGTACACATTAAAATAAATTTTTTATAGGTTTAAAATGCGAAACATATTAGTTACCTTATTTACAATTTGTTTACACTACGGCCTGACGACGCTTTGTAGCAGCCGTGAACACGGATACAGTTAAGTGTTTCATGTAGTGTTTTCGCGCATGCTGATAAGTCAATAACAGTATACTTAGATTAAAAATCTTTTACATCGAAAAAAAAATACGATAAGAGCGGGACTAGAACCGTGCTATTTACTATGTCTCATTTCGTTCCGTGCTGTTCTAGCCAATAAATCTAAATATATTTTTTCCATATGATGTTTAATAATATGATTAATGTTTTCCACTTATAATAGGTAAGGAGTGCAATTCCAAATCCCGGTTTTATTGAATATTGGGACCGGCCGGTCACACATATACACACATGTACATATGCGCGGTGTCACAGCTCAAGAGCCAATATTTTACAAACATTAACTAATTGGTAACAACTTACCCTTTATAAGTATGTATATTTTTGTCTTTAAACCTTTAACGGTTTTAAAAGCGAAATTTTTTTTTCTTTTAAGTTTTTTTTTTTTTTTTTTTTTCCCCCCCTAAAAACAAAACAGTATGTTCTGTCATTTTAAATATTTAATGTCTCATTTTAAGTTTATTTGGTCTAATTATTAATTACATTGTTTTTATGCTATCTATATCGGTCGTGTCGAGTAGGTATTTGTTTTCTCTATTTAAAAAATAAAAACTTTTCAGAGTGACCTCCAGATTAATTGTCTTCCAATAACACACTCATAACGCCACCGTAAAAACAGATTCCCACGAAGTTTAAAAACGACCTCATAAATAAAGAATTCTCACAAATATAACCGCAACATAATTTTTACGTACACATTTGCCTTTCTAACGTATCGGTTATCGTGATTTCCTTCAAGCTCAATTTAGCGAATTACCACAAGGTCGATTTTAGAAAAATCGATGCACGCCACCAAAACTCAGCCTTGAGCTGTAATCGATAATCGCTTTACGTAATCGATGTTCTCACGACCCGTACAGTTATTCGATTTAAACAGTGGTCAAGATTTTGATAGGAAAATTAGGGAAAATTAGCGAGTTGAGAGAGCTACCAGTTGATGGTTATTGGGGCTAATGGTGCCCGGGGGGGATCCGAGGGGTCACGCCCCCTTCGCACGCCACTGCCCTCTAGGGGTTCACATGGAAATTTACATTTTTGCTGCGGAAATATTCAAGTTATGTCGTATTGTTGTCGATCGGAAATCATAAGAGGCGCTCTGGTCATATCGATTATTATCGAATTATTTTCTATTCCACATAGACTAAGATAAAAGGCATGGAATTACGCGGAATGAAAAAAAAATCATCAAGGGTTAAAAAAAAACCCTTTCCCGATTAAAAACCGGATTTTTTTTTTAAACTTTTTTGGAAAATTTTTTTTCCCCCGCCCCCCCGGGGGGGGGGGGCCCCACCCCCCCCCCCCAAATTCCCCCTTTTTCCCCCCCCCATTTTTTTTTTTTTTTTTTTTTTTCCCCCCCCCCTATAACCCCAGAATCTACATAGGTATTAATCAAAAATTTTAATCCATTGTTAACAAATACATCGATGATCTACTAAAAGTCATATTAATAATGTACCTCGATATGATATAAAACATAAGATCGACAAAATGGACAATAAAATCCATTGAAAATACATTTATTGGTTTTATGTCTATATAAATGTGACGGTAAATCACAATATGAATGCGGAAAACCGAGCATTATCTACGAACGGTTGTAATGTACGCAAACCACAAGTACGCCATCAGACATCGAATCCAAGATGACCCCTAATCAGGGCCGGCCATTAAAAAATGCCTAACAAATAGCCACTCGCAGCGAACAGTACACGATGCTAAGCCTGAAGGCTCGATAAACGGTAGGCTATCTATCGTGGGAACTCTGCATTTATGATCCAACCTTTGTTTACTTGAGTCTCCTTTCGGGTCGTTTATGTAATGGTAGCGATGTTTGGTTAATAATCAACGGGTCGTGAGGTTCGATCCCCACCAGGTCCAACATTTTTGTAATCGATTTGCAATTTTTCTGAAGTCTGGAAATTAAATGGTAGTAAAAAAAGGCTTTTTGTCCGACTCAAGGAGTGTAAGGTAGAGACGGTTTAGCTTCCTTTTAAAGCTAATAGTTAGTGTTGCGGCGTGAGGATTTTTTCTAATACCTTAGACTTCACTTTCCTTTATTTTTACTTAAGTTTGCCACCTCTTGACTATTGTAGTTGCACATATTGGTAAGCGATAAGCGCGAGAGATCCTGAGAATAATAAAATTGAGGATTGAAATTTGTATGCCGAAAAAAAATCTTTATTTCACCACAATTTACAAAATAAATAAATTAAAAAATTAACAAAAAGTAGCGAGAAAAGGAAGAAATCGCTAAAAACGATTTCTTCCAGGCAACTTGAAAATGGAGATTTACAATAATACATGATAATAATAAGGGTAACACTACAGCTATAATAAGTTTATACAATACTAAGTATGTTTTTAAAGTTTGACTTAATAATTAAAATAATTTACCCAATCAAATGTATAAGATGTCTTGGTTTGAGTTCGAGTGAGCTACCGTGTTCTCGATTGGTTAGAGCAACAGTACAAAACGCCGGATGCCGGTTCAAATCCTGCCCGTGTCACAATTATTTTCAATTTCATTTAGATTTCTCAATTATAGTTTTGTCTTGTATAGCGATAATATTTAAGGTATTTATTAAATTGTATTAAATTCTATAGTTAATTGTTAGCCTATTGACATCCAACATTGGACGTTGCTTGTTTCCAAAACATGGCATGCAACCTTTTTCAAAGGTCTACTCATGTCGCTTTATTTTTATTTATAATTTTTCTTTAATTGGAAATCTGCATATTAAATGGATGGTAAGAATATAGAAATACAGTCCGGGTCCCACCTACCGTCAACAAATGAAAAAGCCGTGAAGCTTAATCGCGTTTCCGCTTCAGTCTGTCGATTTCCGAATATCCAAAGCTAAAATAGATCGAAAGCGTTCTTTAGATGCATATGCTATGGGGTAGATCCCGCAAGTGAACCCCGT